TGTTCCAAGCCCCATCCAACCTGGCCTGGAATACTTTGAGGGTTGGGGCAGCCACAGCTTCTCTGGGCAACCTGTGCCAGTGCCTCACTACCCTCACAAATAAGAATTCCTTCCTAATATCCCATCTAAATCTACTCTCTTTCAGTTCCTTCCTTTTTGGTTTGTTTTTTTTTTCTTTACTAATATTGTTTTTAATATATAATGCTGGGAAGTCTCCAAGGCTTTGGACTAAATAAAAACCTTGCCTTGGCTCCCCAGCTTGGCAGACTTTTGCCTCTAATACAACACAGATCAGAGAGGTGTTTTTTTGGCTCTCCTACCTACAATAAGATTATTCTCTGACATATGTTTCCATCTGTCATGAAAACACTCTATTCTTGTCACAATACCTTATGAAGTTGGGAAAGAGCCTCAGGTAACAGAATGGCATCTTTTTGTACTAACTTTCATATCATAAACAATCTTTTTTGATACCATCACAGTCAGCATAAGGGAAGAATATAAGGGAAAGAAGCTAATGAGGCTACTCTGTTTCTAGTGCCCATTAAAGCAAAAGAGCCACAAAAGAAGCAGCTCACCCCAATAAAAGTCCTATCCCCCTGTTTCTCCTGGACTGACTTATAGGAGTCAATTCACTGTATGAAATCCCCATGGCTCCAGTCAGGACATTGTTTTCCCAATTTGCCACAAGTACCAAAGCTTCCCCCAGTGCCTCTGAACCATCTGAACCAAGGCAATTCTTGCTCCAAGCTCAGGGTCTCTACAGTTGTCTGGATGGAATTTCCCTTTGCACAGCTCTTCTTCACACCAAGGTTTCACGGTGGGTTTTATTTTCCTTTCCTCTCACTTCACAGCTGGAGGAATCAGTACAGAAGCTCCAAGGAGATCCTCGTCCTTCAGGTGCAGCAACATGATTAATTCAGAAAGCAGCATCTGCCATCTTCCTGGGTATGATGTCCCGAGGTGCTGAGACTCTGGAAACCCCAGGACACCACTCTTGGCCCAGATGAGAGCTGCATACATCAGCCTAAACTCTTCGGAAAGCATGAACATCTACTTTGGTACCTCAGGGAGTATCAAGTTATTTTTAAAATCTAGGGAGTTACACATGCAGAAGAAGAACACATAAACATCAACTACACTGATTTCATCTGCCCAACCTGATGAGGAGAGGAAAAAATTATGTTGATTCTAGGGAAGTCAGTCCCACTGTCAAAGCTATATCAGGAGACACCAAGTGGGATGGAACCACCAGACCCCGACAGGAAAAGTCTCCTGTTTCTATGCCTTTTTTTTTTCCTTTGTGTAGGTATGGAATGAGGTCACCCCTTCCTGGGACTAGTTCTCCCCACTCTCCTGGCCCTTCCATGGGGCACAGTTCAGTCTTAGAGGATGTGTTTTCCAGGAGGTATTACTCTGGCCCAGAGTACAGCTAGTCCAGCAGAAACCATCTTTGCTCCTATCAGGCAGAAATGGACCTGTTTTCCCTCAAATCCAAGCAGCAATCCAGGAGGAGCTTGGTCTTGTCCTCTCAGCACCAACCCTGCTCTTCCTGCAGACCCTCAGGGTTCTGCCCACCAACACTTTCTGGGGAAAGAGGCTGAATCTTGCAAAAGATTCAATAATTTAAAACCCAACCAACGAAAAAAAAGATGTCTGTGAATATCAGCTATAAATAGTGTGTCAAGTCCTGCTGTAAACTCGCTACAGAGCTGAACTAAAAATAGCAGTAGGACAGGATGAAGCAGTGCAGCACTGGTGTTGATAGGAACAGCAATGTCAAGAGGATGAATACAGAGAAGAATTAAGACTTTGCCACAGTAATTATCTACCTAACACAGAACAATGTGGGATAAATATAGAAACCATATTGCCAAAACGGTTCCTACTCCCACCGCCACGTTAAATGAAATTTAGAAATCCCACTGAAAATTAAACTGTGGAAAGAAAAAAATTCTTTTTCTTAGATGTAGTGGCATTTTTCTGGTTTGCCTTTAATTACATGGCACATTCATTCTCTTCAGAGAGAGATCTGACCAGAATGGATCTAGGGCTGTGCTTCTCCTGCATACTTGGCCAAAATATCCAGCAGCACAAGTGAGATTATTTACTCACATGATGCAGTGAGACTCAATGAGAAATAAAGAGACTGAACAAACACTGTAAAGATCAGGAAAAAAAACCCCAAACCATCCCCTCCAGTTCCTGTTCCTGCCAGCTGATCCTGTATCCCTTCTCTACAGCCAGTGTGAATGAGGGCAGAGATGTGTTACAGAGCAATCTGAGTGTCTATACCCAGAGACAGGTCACAAAGGACTTAATGCACAAAAGTCTGTGCAAAACAGTGCCATGTACTTGTTCTCTAGCACAAGTAGGAGCCAGAAAGCTCAAAAACGTTTTCATTGCTGGAAGTGGGCAGCACTATCAGACCAAAGCTGAATTCCTGGGCTATTTGTGGCTGGATTGACTCCTTAGACCAATGCAACAAGGCAACCAACTTATTGATGGCAAGCACTCCATCCTCAAAGCTTTTTAGCAAGCAAACTTGTTCTGCATGGAGTCTTCTTAGCATCCATAAACACAGCACAACATCATACTACCAAACACTGCAGTCTTGGTCAACACATATACCACTGGTTCTTGGGTCTTTTTGTTACACTATAAATTCCTCTTTAGAAGGAAAGAGTCGAGCTCTGAAGTTTGTTTTAACCGCTTGTTTAAAAATCATGTTCCGGAATTTTACTAATCACTTGGTGATTGCCTAGGGATTAAGAAATCTCACAGGTGAGTGATTATGCTAAAATCCCAAAACTAGTACCTAAACTAACCAAGTTAAATATTGGAAGAGAATGAGGCAGTATAAGTGAGTATAAAGGCACAAGTCTGAGGGAATCATGTTGATTCCTTTGCCAAGTGTAGATAATGACTAAAGAAGTTGGCTACCCTCAGACTTGTATTTTATGCCACATAAAAGCACATTGCCTTTTACAGTTCCTCCATTCAATCACTTGATGTCACAGCATTTCCATTCTTTCTTTTATCCTTGAAGAACCAAACCACCCCACACCATGAATTCCTAGGTCTGAAAGCTCAAAATCTCATGGAGAAAAGTTGGTATGTACTTACGACCAGAGAGAGTTTCTTCCTTGTGTGATGACTCCAGTGAATTTTGTTAGCCTTCGAGCATCTACTTCAATCCACTGATAAGGGTCATTTCTTCCTGCACACCAAGCACCATCATAAAAATCATTTTCGTTAACACCTGCCTGAAAAGAAGGCAAAGCTGGCTATAAATCAGAACCAAGAAACTGAAGGTATTTCATGGCAAAAAGAAAAGAACACATGAAGTCATCATTCGTCCCACTTACTCTTCTGGCATTAGTTGAAGACCCTTGAGACTGTCATTCTCACCAAATATTTCCTTACACAAAGCAGGGAGGGAAATTCTGCACAGTCCCTTGAAAAATTATGGATCCTTACATATAAATTCGAGTCCAAAAGAATAAACAGATCTTCAGCCTCTTCACCTGTCTGTGCCTATGGCCTGACAGAGCCTCTATCCACAGCTAATTATCTACGTGGTCTTCAGAGGTTTGAAAGTTCTAAAAAAACAGCTCCAACCCATGTAAATACTGATCAGTGCTGAATCCTTTCACCTGGAAGCAGCAAAGGAGAGTGGAGAGCATATAAAAACAGGCATATTACTTCCCACCGATTTTGCATACCAGAATGATTAATTTGCATCACTAGGGTGGCAAAGGTTACAAATCCAGGAATGAGCTGTACTCCAACTTGAGTACTGATCTACATCCCAATTTATGTTGGCAAACCCACCACAAACAGCCTCCTCAGCATTTCCAAAGAAATAGCTGAAGGAATTTTGAGTAAGCCTCTTTCCAAATAAATCTGAAATAGCATTTAATAACACATTGCATCCGAGGTCTTCAGAGATTTATTTTCCTACTAAAGCCCAGGAAATGTTTGGCACCAAGCTAGATCCTGCCATGGAGAGCACAGAAGCTTAGCCATATGGGCCTCTGAGGCTACATATATTTTTATGATTTTTCAGCTGTGGTTTATGTGGATTTATCTTTGCTACCTATGCAATTCCAAGAATGGATACCCTTAAATATTTCCCAGATGAAAATGAAGAGTTTTACAGACTGTTTCTACCCAAATGGGCATTGAGTGGGTCTAATTCAGAGAGGATTCAATGGTTAATCCCTTTGCCCAAGGGGACTCTGATGGTATCTGAGGGAAGTGCTGCAAAACCAGGCAGGATTCAATTCCTAAAACTTCTTGTTTTCACAGGTATGCAAATCTGAGACAGGACAGCTAAAAAATGATTTATTTTCCTACACCTACCAAAATTAAATTAAGCCACCTATTTCTATGTATTAGCTCTGATATTTCAAAGTGAAATTTGTATAAAAGCCGAAGTACAAGATGCAGAGAAAATCTCTATTAAGAATTGAAGATAAATTCCTCAAGGAGAACTGAACAACAGGAAAACATGAGACTACAAATATGATTACTGACCTGAGTTATAACCCTTTCTAAGAAAAGGTTTCAATGCATTTTAAACTGAGATGGAAGTTGAAGTAGCCTTAGGCTTTCAAACCAATGCTTGCCAGGAAGTGTTAAGATCTCCAGAGCACCTTGAACCAACATCCTAATTCTTTTCACACTGGTGAAATTCCACCAGTTCCTGCAGACCAAGTAGCCATATCTCTCTTTGCTTCAGTGGGATCCTTGGTCCTTATCAAGCTGAGGATATTTCCCATTGGTGGGATGTTCATCAGACCTCTCCTCCACTTTACAGTGAGAAGAGAGAAGCAGAAGAAAGAAAAAAGAGCTTATTTGAAATAAACCCCCAAACAAGCTAAATTACATCCTCAAGTCTCCATGGTTTCAACTGGATTTAAATAAAGTGAAGCATAAGCTGCATATCAAATATGGGGAGTCTTAGTTGTCCACAGCTTAAAATATTATGTCCTTAAATAGGGGCAAAGAAGGCATTTAAAAAAGGAAATAAAAGCAGCAAACATGCTACATTTTCATCCTGCTCTCTTATTTTCTGACATCAGCTTCTCTGAAGCTAAAAGAATGTTTTCACTAGGTAAAAAGAAGCAGGTGTTTGTGTATGACTAGCACAGAGTACTACTTGAAAAAGAGGAGTTTAATCAATGAGTTCTTTTTAGAAATGTTTCTGAAGAAAAAAATCTCAAGAAATTTATGTTACAACTTCTCTTTTCAAGCTTCAAGTCTGCATTGTTTTCTTTAGCTGTTTGAGGTTGCAAATTTGCCCTTTGGCCACTTCAAAAAACTACCTCTATAAAATCAACAAACTCAATCAAATATGTAGTAATTAGAATTCCTATGAAATCTCTTTTCAAAATGTTCTATCCTAAAAGATGAGAACAATTATAACCAAATATTCTATCAAACAGTATAGATCAAGACACCTTTCCTCAGTAAGACAAATTAAAAAGTTCTATATTGAACTAGTGGAAATAATAGATTCAAGTTATGACATGGATAATTTATCTTTCTAAGTAGAAGACTGAAGGAGCTAATGAAAGCTGGAAGTAAGGGCTAGGTCTTAAACAAACCCTCACTGAATTTTCAAGAGTAACTCAAAATCTAACCCAGTTTGTATTTCACTTGCAGCCAAATGCAAAAATATTTCTTAATATTCAGTGCCTTATGAAAAAATACCTTTCTGACAGAGAAAAAGAGACTTTTTTTCTGTCACTTGAGAATAAGTTATCTATAAGCATGAAAGCTGAAAATTGTAATTCAGCTAAATCAAATCAGCTGCATATTATGGACCCAGAAACTAAGATAAAGGTTACAATTCCTTTACAAATAATATGACTTCAGATTTTAATTCATGTTTCTCTTCCAAATGAGAGATGTGCAAGACGGAACAAACACTTGTTCACATTACCACTGTTCTAAAAGCCTCATTCTATAATGAGGAGAGAGATATCACTGCCTAAAATTATTCAAATGAAGAAAGAAATAGACTTCTGCCACAAGGCAGCTGGAGCAGCAGTAAAAATATGCCAAATATCAAACCACCTCTGCTTAAATTCTCCACTGCCAGCAGGATGATCACAAACATTACTTTACCACAGGAAGTTTGGGAGGGAAAAAATAAAAGCATTACTCATCACAGGTATTTATAGCAACCAGAGCCAGTAGGGAAGAACTAAAGCACACAGGCTGGAAGCAGAATTTCAGTAATTTTGTCTTTCACTTGTGTTTTCATAGTGGAGTTTTTCCCTAGGAACATATGAAACAAAGAAATGGAAAAGCAACCATGGAATCACAGAATGGTTTGGGTTGGAAGTGACCTTAAAGATCATCTCGTTCCATCCACCTGCCCTGGGCAGGGACACCTTCCACCAGCCCAGGTTGCTCCAAGCCCCATCCAACCTGGCCTGGAACACTCCCAGGGATGGAGCAGCCACAGCTTCTCTGGGCAACCTGTGCCAGTGCCTCAGCACCTCACAGGGAGGAATTCCATCCCTCCCTGCCCTCTGGCAGTGGGAAGTCATTCCCCCTTGTCCCGTCACTCCAGGCCCTTGTCCAAAGTCCCTTTCTGGTCTCTTGGAGCCCCTTTAGGTACTGACAGAGCACTGTTAGCTCTCCCTTACACGTTTGCATATGTTTACACACACAATTGCATTACTTGGTTAATCTTCTGTGCTGATTGGACTTCTCCAACAAGGAAAACGGGGAAGGGAAAGAAACATAGTTTGACTAATTATTCCAGGTTTTAACCATTGTTAATTATTGTTCAAGTGACAAATACTAATGGCTTTTATCCCTGAAGGCAAAGCACCTCAATTAATATTATTTTATGGCATGATTTTTCCTGCGCTGATGTCAAATTACTACTAGTAGTGCCACTGCTGCAGTTGCAGGCCAGATCTCCAAAATAGAGGGCTCTAGCAGCATTGCTCCTGCCCTCAGGAGATCCCAGCTTAATTGTCACATTCATACAGGACCAGAATCAAAATCAGGTCCCATACAGTGCAGGGGCACAAGAGAAGCAGATCCTAGAAGGTCTTATCCAGTTCTGCTAGGCCTGTCCTTATTCAGAATAAAGCACACAGCGACTGAATCTTTTCACATGCTTCAAATCATCTAAACAAAACAGCAAAACCCTCAGAAGTCTTTGAAAGACTTCATTATTCTGCAAATTCCCTACGAACTGAGGTAGTGCCAGTTACCTGGGGAGAGCCCTGAGCTTCTCAGCTGACTTCCCATCAGATGATGAGGTTAGGCAGAGAGAGGATTTTGTCTTATTTCAGGGAGGAACTCAGCAGTCACATGAATGTTGTGCCTCACTGTGCTGATACCCAGATCATTGAACAAGGGCAGCAGCCCATAAAATTGCTCATCACCATACACACAGCACAGCATGTTCACAGAACCTCCGTGGCACATCAGCCTCTAGGAGTCTCTCTGACTTGGGCCAAATGTTTATCTTCATGCGCAGCGCTAAACAGCATGAAAACACAGCAGCTTAAATACCAGTGCCTTTTGCCTTTCCCCAGCAGGCTGCAACCTGCTCTTCTGAGCAGCAAACAGAAACCACCAGGGACCTCATTACCCATCTGACATGTCAGTCCCCTGTAGTTCCTGTTCTTGGTTAGAAGCACATACCTTCGAACTGTGACTGAAATTCAGGAATCTTCTTGCAAAGGGAAATAAAGGACAGAAACCAAGTGACAGGGGCACTGGAACCCTAGTGACAGGGGCACTGAAACCCAAGTGACAAGGATCTGTGGATTCTAAGTGTCTCTGCAATATTTCAGTGCTCTTCACTTTTAACTAATCCCAATGAAAACAGTGTCTAAAGAAAAATAAAGGCAAGCCCACACTTTCAACACTGCCAGCCACACTAGTAACCCTAAGTGCTCAAGGGGTTTAGGGAATTACTCTATCTATAGTGTGCACAGCAGATTTCGGTAGGGGTGAAGGCTCTGGATCATATTTGGTCTAATCAAGCCCTGGACACAGCAGATTTCGGTAGGGGTAAAGGCTCTAGATCATATTTGGTCTAATCAAGCCCTGGGAGCTCTCAGGATGAGCTGGGTGGCACTTTGCTTCTGCTTTTTCCCAGCAAAAGATTGTCCCCTTGGCTTCTGCTAGAGACTTGGACTATATTTAGAGGAAATATCATCCATAGGTAAGACTCTTAGGCCTCTATTTATTTTAACACAGAATTACTGGTGATGACAGGACTAGATGGACTCCTGGTCTAAACCAGAATGGTCATTCTTGTGTTTAAATAGATTGAACTTAACAGCAACATGAAAAGTAAGTAACCACAACCAACAGAGAATGCTGAGGTTTACACCACAGTCCTGGTCTTATGCCACTATATAAACAAACTGGAAGAAAATAATTAAGCATTCCTCTAGAACCAATCTGAATAGCATTTCTGTGTTCAGGAGGGTTTTATTCCTAGCAGAGAATATCAAGTAAAGGAGCAAAACACCTCACTGGGATCTCAAAAGGCATTAAATACGAAGGCTGCAGGTGAGACACATCCCTCCAGCTCCAGTCTTCGCTCTCTAATTAGCAAACTTCTTCAGCTGGAGGAAAAAAATCATATGGAGTGTCTAATAATAAAAGATAAGCAAGAAATTAAATAAACTATAGAGAGTTTTCACTGCTGACTTGGTGCTAGTATCCTGTTTCTGACTCTGAGTTTTAAATGTTGTACTTCATTATGCAAAGTAACATTCTTATTCTGGAAAATATTGCAATGCAGAAAGCAGCACTTAATCAAGTGGAAAACAGAAATGCAAGAAATGGGCAAATGGAATTTGATCCTGCAAGGCACCTAAACACATTTTTAATATTAAACAAAAGAAGCTAAACAAGATTGTATGCTAGTGACTTCTGAACTGAAGAATTTGTGGGGAGCACAGCCATTCCCTCTGCAAAACTGCCTTGGGGAAAGGGCTTCACTTGAAAACACACTTGCAGTTAACCATTGCCATTAACTACAAGCAAAGAACAATAAAAAGCAACTTGCTGTGTGAGCTTCTTCTGGGCCAATTGTTAAAGGGAGCTGGGATGATTTCCTGAAGCTGGGAAGGGAGCTGCTTCCACCTTTGCTTGCTCATAGACATCTGTTTGGATTTGCACCCTCCACAAGCTAAGTTTGGAGATTTTTCTAACTAACCCCACGAATCTAAAGGTTATCCATCAACCTTACTCACTTCTCTAACTCCAGTGTTTCCCCTTCATTTGAATTACATGAGCTGACAAAGTAGTCAGAACAGATAACTATCCATTGGTTCTCTTTATACAACAGAACAACCTGAAGCCATTCTCCCACTTAGGAGAAAAAAATTGATGTTACCTGAATATTAAGCCTTCCTCTGTGGGCCCCCAGGCCATAACGCTTTGCTGTGGAGGCATGGAGCTGGAAGTCAGTAATTTTTAATGTCTCTAGACCAAGTGGAGGACAATCTGCAAAACAAAAGATTGATTAAATGTTAATTAAACTGGAAAAAAACAAACCAACTCAAAACAAACAAGTATTCAGAGTTCCTGGAGCTCAGGAGTGCCAAGCTGGCTGAGGTCCTCGCTGGGATAAATGAGCACGGCAGTGCTGAGGTCAATGAGAAATGGCAGCTCTCAGAAAATCAATGAGGCAATGCAGATTTACACCATTTTTAGGGGCTCAGATACTTACTGCTGCTTGCTATGGGCTTCAGTTTTTCATGGATATACACAGTATTTCCTGTCAAGTGATTTTCAGTACAGAACACCAGTAAAACGCCCTTTTATTTTGGTTTTTTTGTGCTTTTTCATCTCCTGTTTTGCTTTTATTCCCCCCTCTCCCTGTACTCATTCCAAGCTACTGTATGAAGTTATGTTTCTCATTAAAATCTGTTCTGGAAACTTCAATCACAGTCCTTCCCCTTGCACAATAGCATCTGTTACAGAGGTCTGGGGGGGGCCAGAGAGCCAAGCCCTGCAGAGGGAGTAACTAAGCACAAAGGCAGCAATTTTGAAGCAAGGGGCCACCTCTCTAAGCCTCAAATTCTGCAAAACCTTGAAGAAAGCAAAGCAGATGCCATTATTTTAGCAGCTAACTAGTGCCTGGAGCTCTGGCTTTGGAAGATAAGATGTTGGGAAAAGTCAATTTCATGATTCTCAGGAAAAGGTTTTGCTCTAAAGTGACCCCAGGCACGTTGGTATTTAAGTTCCTTGCAATGTTTAGCATATTTATCCTCAAAGGACCGTGGTGAGGTGGGGATAGCCCACCCTCAGTGTTTCACAGGAGGTGAACAAAAGCACAGAGAGACACTTAGGGTGCACAGCAGAGCACAATTTAGAGGCCCTAATTCATAGAATCACAGGATGGTTTGGGTTGGAAGGAACCTTAAAGACCATTTAGTTCCAACCCCTGTCATGGGCAGGGACACATTCCACTAGAACAGTTGTTCCAAGCCCCATCCAACCTGGCCTTGAAGTCAGTGCCAGCTGGGATTGAAAAGTCTGTGTGGGGCAGAGGTGGAAAGAAGTGTTGGATACTTGGTAGGATAGACTAAGTTTTGCATTACTGTGTCAAAAGAAACTTGCAGATGGTACTGAATTGGGAGGAGCTGTTGACTCCCTCAAAGGCAGAGAGACTCTGCAGAGAGACCTCAGCAAATTATAGGACTTGGAAATCACTAACTGAATTAAGTTAAATGAAGGCAAGTGCCAGATTCTGCACCTGGGATGGGACAACCCTGGAAACATGGAAAGACTGGGGAAGGAGAGGCTGGAGAGCTGTGCTGTGGAAAGGGACCTGGGATTCCTGGTTGATGGCAAGTTGGATATGAGCCAGCAGTGTGCTCTGGCAGCCAGGAGAGCCAACCATGGCCTGGGGTGCATCAGGCACAGGATTGCCAACTGGTCAAGGGAGGGCCTTGTCCTGCTCTGCTCTGTGCTGGTGTGACCTCACTTGAGTCCAGTCCAGCCACTGCCACCACTGACCATGTCTCCAAGTGTCACATCTGCGTATCTGTTAAATCTCTCCAGGGCTGGGGACTCCACCACTGCCCTGGGCAACTGTGCCAGGGCTTGAGAATGTACCTGAGAATTTCAGCTGGCCATGTCTAACTCTCAGGTGTTGTTTTGCATTACTGTGCAAAAACTGGCAAGACATATGAGATTTCCCATGCTCCTCCATAGTTCACAACAACCTCAAATCCCTCAGGAAAAATCTTACATGCTGTCAATTGATGCTAATATTTCTTCGTTCATCCTTAGGAAAGGTCTTGCACAAATCCAAGGCCAAATATCTCCATCACAGGCAGTAAAGACAAATGCTCAAAAATAATCTAAAGTACCAACAGTGATCTTAGTCTTACATAACAGACAGTTCCTCATTTCAAAGAGCTTTTGATTTAATTATCCAAACCAGAAAAGAGACAGGATGTATAAGCAAAGGCAGAGGAAGGAATAGCTGGGAGGATTTTGGTTTCATTGGCTGATTGTTTTAAAAGCATTTCCTTATAAAGTGTTTCATCTTTCATCATACTTTGACTGGAAGAAGTCTCAGACTCTGACAGATCTCTACTGGGAGCAAATTACATAGCTGGGAGCTGCCTGACTTTCTTTAACAAGTTTGGTCCTCAAGACAGGTTTGGAAATCAATCTCATGGTATAATCCTGAGAATACTTTTGCACATTGATTTTCTTCTGTGAACCATCCCACCCTTCCCAGGCAATAAAAAGTTACCTAGAACTACCCAGGAGCTGAAAATAAAAGCAAATTGTTTTTACATGCTCAGTTCATACAATATCCTTGACTCCAGTGTTTCTGCTGTACCTAACAAAGCTAAGGGGCAATCTACAGGTACATCTAGGAGTTATAAACAAAAGGAGAAAATGGTATAGTATGTTTCATACTATGTTAAGAGATTGGAATGGATCTTAGAGATCATCCAGCCCCAACCCCCTGCCCTGGGCAGGGACACCTCCCACCAGAGCAGGTTGCTCAAGGCTTTAGCCAACCTGGCTGTGAACACTGCCAGGGTTGGGGCAGCCACAGCCTCCCTGGGCAACCTGGGCCAGTGTCTCACCACCCTCACAGGGAAAACTTCTGCCTAATATCTAATCTAAACTTCTTTCTCGATTTCTCCCCATTGCTCCTTGTCCTATCCCTGCAGTTCCTAACACAGATCCCTCTGCATCTTCCCTGGAGCCCCTTCAACTCCTGGCAGATTGCTCTGAGATCTCTACACAACCTTCTCTTCTCCAGGCCAGGCTGAACCAACCTTTTCAGCCTATCCTTGTAGGGAAGGTGCTCCAGTTCTCTGATCAGCTTCATGACCTCTTCCGACCTTGCTCCAACAGTTCCACATCCTCCTTATGTTGAGGACACCAGAACTGTGAGCAGCACTCCAGGTGTGGTCTCACAAAAGCAGAGCAGAGGGAGAATCACCTCCCAGTTTCCCTCAGAGTGCAGAGCCAGTTGCATTTCAGCCTATCCTTGTAGGGAAGGTGCTCCAGTTCTCTGATCAGCTTCATGACCTCTTCCGACCTTGCTCCAACAGTTCCACATCCTCCTTATGTTGAGGACACCAGAACTGTGAGCAGCACTCCAGGTGTGGTCTCACAAAAGCAGAGCAGAGGGAGAATCACCTCCCAGTTTCCCTCAGAGTGCAGAGCCAGTTGCATCAGCATCAGACCCACTGAAGGTTTGTCTCTTCCAAATTTCACAGGGTCTCCTCTGCTAGCAAACCAGCAAAGGTTTATGGAGCTACCCCATGTGCAGGCAGCACATCCCTGCTCCATAGGATGCAGACTGACCCACAATCTCTATCTGCCTTTCTCTCTGCTCTGCAGAGAACAAATTTTCATGACACCTGTAGGAAATGCACTGTTTTGGAGCCTGTCAGGCCTGGCTGAGGTTACCCAGAGTGACATGTACCTGCCAGTGCATGTATAAAAAGTGGATTTGGTTTTAGTCAGACTGAAATATTATTAATGTACTATAAAGCTGCAATATTCCTGGGTTGCCTGTGGATTTAGATGGTTATTAACAGGCTGAAAAAATATTCCCTGTGTATATTGGTGGTTATTATCTCTGTTTCTAGAGAGAACGAAGTCTAATAATAGACCCAGAAATGTTCATATGGATCTCAGATAAAGATGCCTGACTGCTCTTTATTTTGCAAGGATGAATTATTTGTGTTGTCTGTGAATGCATCAGATTACCAGGCCAATGTTATGAAGTGCTCAATTTAGCAGGAGTTGTCAGTGAAAGCAAGACTAGGCTGTGTGAGCAGGCAGGGGCTAGATACCACAGGCAGGACAGATACTCCTCAGGAAAACTGGGCAAGATGTTCACAACACACTGTCCTTTCCCAATGTGCTCAAGCCTTATACTTCCAGTGAAATCATTAGGATCTTTGCCATCAATTCAATAGTACCCAGGAATTCACTTTTTTAAACTGTTATTTAATTAGTAGGAGAATGCCTAACGTTCTCTGCTTTCTGTGGAGGTGAACTAGAATTTAAGCTGCAACTTCACTAATTTACCAAATCCTTAAAGATCTTTTCTTCTTTTACTTTGGTAACAAAAACAAATAAAATAAATAAATTAGCATTTTGCTCCAATACTTGACTGAAAATGAAAGAAAATCATTTCTTCCACCATTGGCTCCACTTTCTCCAGTGACCATCCCAAACTGGGAGCAGAGCAACAGGATTCTCCACACAACACCATTGATCTTTAGCTGTTTCCATCTGTGCAGCTCTGCATGGGGATGTTATTCTTGGAGACATCAAGCCTATTGTCTGCAGCAGCTTTGCTGCATGGAATTTGTGCAGTTTTCCACAAGAGAAGACCTTTGATTTCACTTTTAAATGAAATGATGTCTTCTATTTATAGCCATAATATTTGGATATTAACACTTTAGGGTTATTAATGTTTTCCAGATGCATATGTATTCCAGCATCAATAAAGGAATGAAATGAGTAAGATTTAGACCAAAACACCAATCTGTAATATATAGAGATTATAGTGAGAGCAAATTTTACAGTGTGGACTCTTCTGATCAACTCCAATTTACTCATTCTAATACAACAAAATCCACCTAAAGTTGCCGTTTCGCTACTGAAAATGATAAAATCCTGAGTCATACTGCAATTTAATTTTTGATAAATTATTTTGTTGGGGTGTGTGTCCCCTGCTTCCTAAAGTCCTGAAGAAGACCAGGTCAACCTAGTTTTGAAAAACATATGGGAAAAGAACCTGATTTATGGCATTCATAAAGACTGTGCTTTTTAAAGTATTGCTTTAATATATTTCATTTAACTTGAAGAAATCTTCCATATAACAATGAAAATCTCCACCCAATCAATAAGTCTGCTTTAATGATTTTTGTATTCTTCATGCTACGTTGAGAAAACCTTGGGGAAGCTACAGAAATTGGGCAGCAAGAATAATCAGAGCAGTTCAGAGCTTA